AAGGCTGGTGCGGGGCCATCTTCCCGGAGCGAGCCAATGCCAGCCACAGCGGGCCGGACTCTATCCACGTCGATACCGTCTCTCGCTTATGATGCCCCCTCCCCGGGCACTCTGCCCCTCTCTTAGGCTCCAGGTCAAGGTCCATTGAGTACTCCTGTACTCCTTGTCTCATAGCAGAAGCGCCCAAATGGAGAAGTAGCGTGTCTCTGTAAGAACAACGTGGTTGCTGGGGCTGGCAGGTGGCATGGTGGTTGAGGGTGCTGGACTCCCACAGGACTGACTGCAGTTCGAGTCCCAGACCTGGCAACTTGCTTTCTCACTTTCTCTCTCTCTCTCTCTCTCTCTCTCCCCCCCCCTCTCCCTCTCTGGTCAAATTAAATAAATGAATGAATGGATAAATAAAGTTGGGAAAAAAAAAAAGAACAACGTGGTTGGAGTGGCTTAGAGTTGTTCCGTAAGATACAATACAGTAACAGTGCCAACTGGAATAAAAACTTCTAGTTTTGTTTCCTCCCATGTTTGAACTACAGTAAAAACCTAAACCCATAAGGACAAGAAGGCAGTGATAAAATGGGGGAAACTGGAAAGCATGAGAAGTCATTGAAAATAAGGGGGCCAAGGGCGGAGGGCAGCCCCGTGTGATGCTCTGTGTAAGCTGACCCAGTTGAGAAGGTTCCAGACAGTGTCTGCAGACCTCCCTGGAGTTGGTGCAAGCAGGCCATATGCCAACATGGTTGGTTTAAGCTGGGGTGGATCTTGGTGTGAGGACTGTGTTGGGGGCACCCAACTCTCTGGCTTGTAAAAGAAGTACATAGCCTTTCAAACGAGAAGGAGAGAGTAAGGACTAGGTGAAGGCTGCTAGAGAAGCAGATGCCTAGATCCTTTCTCCCATTTCACGTCTCTGGGCTGCTGTCCTGCCACCCAGGCCAAGGGTGGGAGGTCAAATTCTCTAGAGGAGGTTAATTCACTGAAGGAATAAGTGGCTTTGTGCCTACTGAAAACCGAAACTCCCACCCACAGCCCTCACTAGATTGACCAGACTCCAATTAACTCAAGAAGCCGATCGAAAATACTGACATCAGAGGGACTGGCAGGTGGCATAATGGTTATGTTGCTGGACTCCCACGTCGTTGACTATGGTTTGAGCCCTTGACCTGGGAACCTAAAACTCATGCCAGGCACGTGAGCACATGCCCAAAATCCCAAGAGGAGAATGGAGGAAAATGGATTGTGGCGTGGTCATCTTCCCTGGAGTAATGATTTCTTGCCTTCTGTCTCTCAGTTTCTGTCTGTCTGGTGAGTACATGTGACCTAAAGCAAAAATCACCCTAAAAAAGAATATATATATATATAGAGAGAGAGAGAGAAAGAGAGAGAGAGACATCAGAACCAGCTAGTGGCATGGTTAAGGTGCTGGATTCCTACATGGCTAAACCTTAATTTGAGTCCTGGACCTGATGGCTTACTTTCTCACTCTTTCTCCCCCACCTTCTCTGGTCAAATTAAAATAAATAAATAAAGTTAAATAAAATAATTATTTAAAGAGGAAACAAAAAATTAATGGTTACGTTGCTGGACTCCCACATAGTCAATCATGGTTTAAGTCCTGAATCCAGCAGCTTAAAACTCACACCAGGCTTGTGTGCATGCGTGCCTAAAATCCCAAGAGGAGAATGGAGGAGAAGGAATTGTGGCATGGCCATCCTCCCTAGGGGAGTGATTTCTCACTTTCTGTATCTCTGGCGAGTGCATATACCCTATAGCAAAAACCTCTCTAAAAATAATAATGATGATGATTAATAAAATTAAATAAAGTAATTTAAAAAATATTGACATCATTTCTAGACAAACCATACACTCTGATCACCCTACAGTGAAATTTAAAGTCAAAATCTGTGGTCATCTGCTCAGGGCTTTTTCTCTCTCTTCCCCTTTGATCATTAACAGCAACCAGGAAAATCCAAAAATAGAGAAGGAAATGGCCTACAACAGAAAAAGAAATACGGACGCGGAAAGAACACTTCAAAAAACTCTTATAATATCCCAAGGAAAGTAAGACAACAGTATATAGCAGAGATAGTGTAATGGGAGAGTGGGAAAGAGAGAAGGATAACAAGAGTACTTGGGAATAAGAAAGAAGGCAGAAAGGAGGAGGAACGCAACAGAATATTAAGATGTGTTTAGGGAAAAGAAAGATAAGTGGAAGAGTAAATAACTCTTAAGGCTGTATATAAGCTAGGTGTCAACAGTTACATAAAACTCACAATCAGGTTAGAAAATGCCACTAACTTGCTCAGATTGTTTTATGTGGCCTATCATGATCCTCTTCTCATTTCCTGTACTCCAATCTTTCCCTCCTATAATCTGTACAACAATTTTATGGTTTTCAAACTTTAATTTGATTTTTTTTAAAGTTACCTGCAAAACTTTTTTTAGAGAGATTTTTGCTATAGAGCACATGTGCTTGCCAGACCGAGAGAGAAAGACAGAAAGAAAGTGAGAAATCACTCTCCAGGGGTGATGGCCATGCTGCTATCCCTTCTCCTCCATTCTCCTCTGGG